AGGCAATGTGTTCCAACAGTGCCGCGTTCGCCTGAGAAGTAGACAATGTGTGCCAACAGGGCCGCGTTCACCTGAGAAGTAGACAATGTGTGCCAACAGGGCCACGTTCACCTGAGAAGTAGGCAATGTGTGCCAACAGGGCCGCGTTCACCTGAGAAGTAGGCAATGTGTGCCAACAGGGCCGCGTTCACCTGAGAAGTAGGCAATGTGTTCCAACAGTGCCGCGTTCGCCTGAGAAGTAGACAATGTGTGCCAACAGGGCCGCTTTCGCCTGAGAAGTAGACAATGTGTGCCAACAGGGCCACGTTCACCTGAGAAGTAGGCAATGTGTTCCAACAGGGCCACGTTCACCTGAGAAGTAGGCAATGTGTGCCAACAGGGCCACGTTCACCTGAGAAGTAGGCAATGTGTGCCAACAGGGCCATGTTCACCTGAGAAGTAGGCAATGTGTGCCAACAGGGCCACGTTCACCTGAGAAGTAGGCAATGTGTGCCAACAGGGCCGCGTTCACCTGAGAAGTAGGTAATGTGTGCCAACAGGGCCGCGTTCACCTGAGAAGTAGGTAATGTGTGCCAACAGTGCCGCGTTCACCTGAGAAGTAGGCAATGTGTTCCAACAGGGCCACGTTCACCTGAGAAGTAGACAATGTGTGCCAACAGGGCCACGTTCACCTGAGAAGTAGGCAATGTGTGCCAACAGGGCCGCGTTCACCTGAGAAGTAGGCAATGTGTGCCAACAGGGCCGCGTTCACCTGAGAAGTAGGTAATGTGTGCCAACAGGGCCGCGTTCACCTGAAAAGTAGGCAATGTGTGCCAACAGGGCCGCGTTCACCTGAAAAGTAAACAATGTGTGCCAACAGGGCCGCGTTCACCTGAGAAGTAGGCAATATGTGCCAACAGAGCCGAGTTCACCTGAGAAGTAGGCAATGTGTGTCAACAGGGCCGTGTTTACCTGAGAAGTAGGCAATGTGTGCCAACAGGGCCACGTTCACCTGACAAGTAGGCAATAAGTGCCAAAAGGTCTGCATTTCCCTGAGAAGAAGGCAATGTGTGCAAACAGGGCTGCGTTCACCTGAGAAGTAGGCAATGTGTGCCAACAGGACTGCATTTACCTGAGAAGAAGACAATGTGAGCAAACAGGGCCACATTCACCTGAGAAGCAGTTAACATGTGCCAACAGGGCCATGTTCACTTGAGAAGAAGGCAATGTGTGCAAACAGGGCTGAGTTCACCTGAGAAGGCGGCAATGTGTGGCAATAGGGCTGTGTTCACCTAAGAAGAAGGCAACGTGTGCCAACGGGGCCACTTTCACCTGAGAAGAAGGCAACGTGTGCCAATGGGGCCATTTTCACCTGAGAAGAAGGCAATGTGTGCCAACGGGGCTGCGTTCACCTGAGAAGAGGGCAATGAGTACCAACGGGGCTATGTTCACCTGAGAAGAGGGTAATGTGTGCCAACAGGGCTGTGTGTTCACCTGAGAAGAAGGTAATGTGTGCCAACAGGGCTGTGTTCATCTGAGAAGAGGGTAATGTGTACCAACGGGGCTGTGTTCACCTGAGATAAGGACAATGTGTGCCAACAGGGCTGTGTGTTCACCTGAGAAGAGGGCAATGTGTGCCAATGGGCCTGTGTTCACCTGAGATAAGGACAATGTGTGCCAACGGGGCTGTGTTCACCTGAGAAGAGGGTAATGTGTGCCAACAGGGCTGTGTTCACCTGAGGTTACCCCTCATGGGGCCATTATGAATGAGTCATTCCCATGACCATGGCAAAATCTTATTTCTATTGTCACTTTTTTTTACTCTGAAAAGTGAGACTCAACAAGTGACCAATGATCCTGGGGGGAGGATAGCAATCCTAGGAGGGAGGGAGGAGGGTAGCTGGTAATCCTAGGGGGAAGAAGGGAATCCTGGGAGGGGGGATGGTGGTCCTGAAGGGAAGGGGGGGGGGAGAAAACAGCAATCCTGAGGATCTTGTGAGGGAAGACTGTGATCCTGGGGAAAAGATGTGGAGGAAGGGGGGGGGGGGGGGACAATGATCCTGGGGGAATGGCAGAAATCCTGGTGGGGAGGAAGGCAGTGATCCTGAGGGGCTTGGGGTTGGGGGGACAGCAGCAGTCTTGGGAGGGAGGTCAGTGATCCCTGGGTCGAAGAAGATGATCCTGGAAGGGTAGAAATCAATTCTGGAAAGGACAGTGAACCTGGGAAGAAAGGCGGTGATCCAATCCTGGGAGAGAGTATGGTAATCCTGGAGAAAGGGGGGAGGACAATCCTGGAGGGAAAACGGTGATCCTGGGGGAGGACGGCGATCTAAGGGTATATTAAAATAAAGTGCCGTAATGTGATACTACTAAAATATATACAATAGCAAATCAATATTAGCACGTACCATGTATAGTACATGTATTATAAAACCTTGTGTAATCAATAAGTGAAGTCCAAAGGTAAAGCCATCAGTCCTTACTAATGTCGGATAGTCCTTCTTTCATCTATGGGGATCCTCCACTTCAACACGATGTGCTCATAAACACCCTCATGTGTGCTTCCTCCACCAACATACATATATATACTCTCACCTCCTGTATATGACCCGTTACTTTAGGTCAAATAGCACTTTTCCCCCATTGACCTGGGTAGGTGTAGCCTCCTGCACTCTCCAGCGTCCAATCCCGGGAGTACTTTCACCCATATCCATCCTCTTGAACCATACATGATATATCTTACACCGCTTGAAGCCCTGGATTCTTAGCAGAACCATTCCGGACCTACAAGTATGCACCAAGAGCACATACGTGACCATTCACCTTACAGACACAAGGATCTGATGATTGTTGGGGGGAAAAGACAACGATCCTAGGAAGAAGGCCAGTAATCCTGGGAAAATGCCCAATGATTCTAAGGGGAGGCAATCCTAATGACAGACCTGGGGGGAATTCAGAGATACCAGCAATTCTGGAGGTGAAACAACAACCCTGGGAGGGAACACAACAGTCCCGAGGAAAAGATGGCAATCATGGGGGTGAGGGAACATCTGGGAGGAAGGATGACAATTCTGGGAAAGAGGATGGTGATCCTTGGGGGAAGGAGGGCAATCCTGGGTGGAAAACAACAATCCAAGGAGTGCAGATGGATCATGGGAGGGGGGAAAGGAATCAGGTGGGGGGAGGGAGGGGCAGATCTAGTCATTTTGGGAGAACGGATAGTGATTCTTGGCAGGAGGAATATAACCCTGGAAGAAGGGAGCAGTATGGTTTATCCAGGGAGAAGGACATCTGTCCTGGAGGGGGACAGGATTCTGCGGGGACAGAGGGGGGAAGGGGCAGTATGGTTGATCCAGGGAGGAAGGACATCTGTCCTGAGGGGGACAGAGATTCTGTGGGGAAGGGGGCAGTATGGTTGATCCAGGGAGGAAGGACAGCTGTCCCGAGGAAGCAGAGATCCTGGGGGGTAGATGGATCCTGGGGGGAAGGGGGCAGTATGGTGATCCCAGGAGGAAGAACAGCTGTCCTGCGGGAGGGCAGAGATCTTTGGGAGGGGGGGGGGGGGGCATTATGGTGATCCAGGGAATAAGGACAGCCATCCTGGGGAAAGACAGAGATTGGGGGGGGGATGATCCTGGGAAGAAGGACAGCTATCCTAGGGGAAGACAGATATCTTGGGGGGGGGGGGGGTGTTAGAAAGCAGTATGATAATCCTTGGAGGAGGGGGACAGCTATCCTGGGGGAGGAAAGAGATCCTGAGGGGTAGACGGATCCCGGGGAAAGGGGGGGGGGGGGAAGGGGCCAGTATGGTGATCCTGGGAGGAAGGACAGCTATCCTGGGGAAGGACACCTGGATCCTGAGGGATCCTGAGGGGTAGATGGATCCTGGGGGGGGGAGGGCAGTATGGTGATCCTGGGAGGAAAGACAGCTATCCTGGGGGAGGACACGGATCCTGAGGGGAAGATGGATCCTGGGGGGAAGTGGGGAGTATGCTGATCCTGAGAGGAGGGACAGCTATCCTGTGGGAGGTCAGAGATCCTGGAGTGATAAATGGATCCTGAAGGGGGGAAGAGGGCAGTACAGTGATCCTGGGAGGAAGGAAAGCAGACCGGGGGGAGGACAGAGATTTTCGGGGGGGGGGAGACAGATCTTGGGGTGCAGTGCAGTGATCCTGGCAGTTAGGACAGCTATCCTCAAGGAAGACAGACATTTATTTCTTTTGGGGGGGGGCAGTATGGTGACCCTGGGAGGATGAATGGGGGATTGTGAGGGGAAGATGAATCCTGGAAGGAAGGACGGCAATCCTTGATGGTTGGTTTGGGGGCGAGGGGGGGAGGGATGAGCAGATCTGCTCAGCAATCATGGAGATGTCTGTCCGCTTCCACCGCCTCCCTCAGCAGTCACAGCCCTGTCCCGCTTTTCATTCATCTCATCTGGTGCCATCGGAGGGATTTACATCATAATGAAACCTCATCCTGTCTGCAGATTGATGAATTCTCCTTGTGTGATCCGTCTATTGCCACAGAACGGTCTGCGGCAGGGACAGAAAACATTGGTATTTCAGTTTGGGGTGGAGATTAGTCCAGGTGTGCGATCTCTGCAGATCCACCTGCCTGATTTTTCCTTTTTTCACAGTTTAGAGAATTCAGCAGAAGGAGTGAGACTCTGTGGGGGTTCTGGAAGGGGCATCCTGCGTTATATGACAAAGTAGGGGGGTGAATGAGCCTGTCAGGGGGTTGTGGGACGGACATATAATGACATATTTCAGGTACTTATACTAGCAGGTTTTTATCATAGATTTTTATCTATTTCCAATGACTTTTTAATATTTTGTGTTGCTTTCTAGATATTATGCACTTATAAATTATGAATGATTTAGGTTGAAGTAGACCTGTCATGAAGGGAGGTGCTAGGGTTGGTATGCAGACTGAGATAAAGCATGAATCCCAGTGTGGATCTGTGCTGGGATTGCCCAGTGAATGGCATTGGAAAATCAGCCACCTTCAGATATAAATCTCTGAATGAATGCAGTGTTACATTGTGACAATAACTGGTCCGCTGACAGACTTGGCAGAAACACGATATCTAATCTGTGAGCTTGCTCCGCGTCCGAGTGCTCATGTAATTGGAACATCTGCGTATTTCCTGGCCAGACTTGGGAACAGCGGGAACGAAAGCCCCCGCGCTCCATGACATCAGAAATGGATGGTTTTGGCATTGTGTTGCGCTCTTCACTGTTCTCAGATTGTTCCGGAAATTCTTATATTTACTCCTCATGTGTCGGTATAATCCGGACAAAGACATTCCGCAGACTGCGGCTTTAATTGAAATATATTTTATCTGTGGTGGTGACAACCATTGGCAGCGGCTCAGCTGGATCCCAGGCCAAGAACCGCAATCACAGCTCCACCCTCAGCGCTCTTGTGGCTGACACCACTTGACTTTCACATGGAAGAGGCTCTAGAAAGTGCTTTGCTCATCCTGACCAGAAGCCAATCACTGGCCAATTCAGAGCAGATTACTGAAGAGGGCTCTTCACAGCGCCAATTTACTACAAGGATGGTGATAACTGACACCTGCAGGACCCGTGATAGGGAGAGAACAGTGCTGGGGTCACGGCGAGACGTCACCTGAACATCCACGCCAAATTACTGGAGGCAAAGAGTCAAGTCACATCCATTGCCACCAATCTGACCAGCATAGTGAATGGTGGAGCCAAACTTGACTTTTCCAGGAAAATTCAAAATTTGCATATACATTCCGATGTAATATACACTTTATAGTATGTAATTCCTCCTACCAATGACTGGGTTCAGGTGTTCCCAGTGAAGGGTCCTGGTAATAGCTCCATGAAGACATGGTTTGACCAGATTGGTGTGGAGGAACTCAAGTATCCTGCACAGAGCCCTCACCTTAACCCTACTGAACACCACTGAAATGAATTAGAATGCCAATTGTGAGCCAAGCCTTTTTTTTTTTTTTGGTGCCCAACGTGGGGCTCGCCATGTGATCCAGTCTTCTAATCCAACATCAGTACCTGACCTGACAAATGGGCATAAATTCACACAAACAACCTCCAGAATCTTGTGGGAAGTCTTCCAAGAGGAGTGGAAGCTGTTAAAGCTGCAAAGTGGGGCAACTCTGTATTAACTGCCATGGGGAGGGGAGCAAATCCATATTAATGGCCATGCGGGTAGGGGAGCAAGTCTGTGTAATGCCCACGGGTAGAGGCAAATCCATATTAATGGACATGCGGGTAGGGAAGCAACTCTGTGTAATGGCCATGGATGGAGGCAAATCCATATTAATGGCCATGCGGGTAGGGGAGCAACTCTGTGTAATGCCCACGGGTAGAGGCAAATCCACATTAATGGCCATGCGAGTAGGGAAGCAACTCTGTGTAATGGCCATGGATGGAGGCAAATCCATATTAATGGCCATGCGGGTAGGGGAGCAATTCTGTGTAATGGCCACAAGTGGAGGCAAATCCATATTAATGGCCAGGCGGGTAGGGGAGCAACTCTGTGTAATGGACACAGGTGGAGAAAAATCCATATTAATGGCCATGCGGGTAGGGAAGTAACTCTGTGTATTGGCCACGGGTGGAGGCAAATCCATATTAATAGCCATGTGGGTAGGGGAGCAACTCTGTGTAATGGCCACGGGTGAAGGCAAATCCATTTTAATGGCTATGTGGGTAGGGAAGCAACTCTGTGTAATGGCCACGGGTGGAGGCAAATCCATATTAATGGCCATGCGGGTAGGGAAACAACTCTGTGTAATGGCCATGGATGGAGGCAAATCCATATTAATGGCCATGCGGGGAGGGAAGCAACTCTGTGTAATGGCCACGGATGGAGGCAAATCCATATTAATGGCCATGCGGGTAGGGGAGCAATTCTGTGTAATGGCCACAAGTGGAGACAAATCCATATTAATGGCCAGGTGGGTAGGGGAGCAACTCTGTGTAATGGCCACAGGTGGAGAAAAATCCATATTAATGGCCATGCGGGTAGGGAAGTAACTCTGTGTATTGGCCACGGGTGGAGGCAAATCCATATTAATAGCCATGTGGGTAGGGGAGCAACTCTGTGTAATGGCCACGGGTGGAGGCAAATCCATTTTAATGGCTATGTGGGTAGGGAAGCAACTCTGTGTAATGGCCACGGGTGGAGGCAAATTCATATTAATGGCCATGGGGGTAGGGAAGCAACTCTGTATATTGGCCACGGGTGGAGGCAAATCCATTTTAATGGCCATGTGGGTAGGGAAGCAACTCTGTGTATTGGCCACGGGTGGTGGCAAATCCATATTAATGGCCATGCGGGTAGGGGAGCAACTCTGTGTATTGGCTACTGGTGGAGGCAAATCCATATTAATGACCATGAAGAGGGATGACAACTCCATATTAATTACCATGAAGGGGGGGAGGGGAGAGGCGACTCTATTTTAATGGCTATAGTTTTGGAATGGAGGGTACACAAACTTTTGGCCATAGTGTGTATCTTTAGGTCTACTGGTTATATTTGACACGCAGCTTATCAGGGGGTCACCTTCTCTTATGTATAAACTGTAACCTGAATGGCCAGGTGAGGGTCAGGACAAGGGCTGGGCAAGAGGGACAGTTGTCCTGGGTGCAGCATTAGGGGACTGCCCCCTCACTACACATATGCTCAAAGTCAGTGGATGGCAAACAGCAGTCTCCAATAAAAGTAACAGTAAAATGTTACAGGTTATATTGTAGCGATTGGGTTTCCATCCACATTAAAGGGAGAACCATGGATGACATTAATGAAGAGATTTGTTTGATGGAAGACGTCTGTACCGAGGCAGGTGGAACATTCACCCAGACGGAGGGATCGATGCTGAGATAATGTAGTGTTTGGGTGAATGGTGACTCAGTCGTTTCTTCTGATGTTCGGTCCGGTTGGCGTTGGATAGGAGAAGGGGGATTGCGCTCGGCAGGGTATCTCCTCTCCATGTATTGAGCACAGAGCACATGAAAGGGAAGAACTTCCCCGATCGGTGAAGATTTACCATCCAATATCCGATTCTCCAGGAGAAGATAATCCTGTCTTCTGGCAGAGCGGAGCAGAATCAATGTCTATTGTGGCGGCACAAAGGATGGAGGAAGATTCTACAAAGGACAAATTGGGGTAATTATTCCCATGTGCCTGGAGATTTCACACCATCCGCCACGTATCACACAATCCGCGCCGATTTGTAGGAAAAATGTCTTTTCTGAGTGTTCATTTCTATCACATTGACTGAGGTTGTCCCTTAGTCGCATACTGCATCACTTTAGAATGCATCCCGTTAGTCTTGCACAGGTGTACCGGCTCCTCCCATTCAGTCTTGCACAGGTGTACCGGCTCCTCCCATTCAGTCTTGCACAGGTGTACCGGCTCCTCCCCCTCAGTTTTGTACAGGTCTACCGGCTCCACCCCTTCATTCAGTCTTGCACAGGTGTACCGGCTCCTCCCCTTCAGCCTTGCACAGGTGTACGGGCTCCTACCCCTCAGTCTTGCACAGGTGTACCGACTCCTCCCCCTCAGTCTTGCACAGGTGTACCGGCTCCCTCCCACTCAGTCTTGCACAGGTGTACCGGCTCCTACCCCTCAGTCTTGCACAGGTGTACCGGCTCCTCCCCTTCAGTCTTGCACAGGTGTACCAGCTCCTCCCCTTCAGTCTTTCACAGGTGTACCGGCTCCTCCCCTTCAGTCTTTCACAGGTGTACCGGCTCCTCCCCTTCAGTCTTTCACAGGTGTACCGACTCCTCCCCTTCAGTCTTGCACAGGTGTACCAGCTCCTCCCCTTCAGTCTTTCACAGGTGTACCGGCTCCTCTCCTGTGCTGAAACGGCTTCCTCTGATTTCAATGCACACTGTGAGCTTCATCCTCATCATACAAAAGCATGCCTGGTGACCCCGATATGTATCATTCTACAAATGCACGCCTGGTGATCCCGATCCATATCATCGTACAAAATGCACGCCTGGTGATCCCGATCCATATCATCGCAAAAACGCACGCCTAGTGACCCTGATCCGCATCATCGTACAAATGCACGCCTAGTGACCCCGATCCATATCATCGTACAAATGCACGCCTGGTGACCCCGATCCGTATCATCGTACACACGCATGCCTGGTGACCCCGATCCATATCATTGTACAAATGCATGACTCCCCATTCACACCTAATGACAGGTTTAGTATTCTCACCCATTCTCCGTACGTCATTCTGCCACTACAAAGAACAAGGGACAATCTCATGTCCTGTATTTTATAAATCCTTTCACCAATAATAACACACTGAATCCTTTCCATGTGATGTAATTACGGTGTTGAGGGGGGCGGGGGCCCTGGGGGAAATGATCGAACAAAAATGCACCCATGGATCATTTGCATCTAATTTGTAAATTCAAAAGGCACATTTTTTACTATAATTATCACTTCATGAAATTATTCATATGCTGAAGGGGCCCCATCCTGAAAACTCACAGCTATATCTTTCCCTCCTGGGGGGCCCATCCTGAAAATCACAGATATACCACAGATATACCTTCGCCTGCTGGGGGGGGCCATCATGAAAAACAAGGTTTTCAAATACATTATATGGCCAAATGTCTATGGACACCTGACCATCACACTTACAGTTGTGTCCAAAATTATTCAACCCCCAATGCTGTAAAGGGGTTTAGGGACTATAGTGTACATTTGGAATTGTATTCAGAATCAAATCCTACAAGGACGTTGTAACTACCCAAATGCAACTAAAATGACATCAATTGTTTATGTAATACAGTAGTAAATGGTTCTTATGTGGTTTCTTCATTGCCACAATTATTCAACCCCTTAAAGACTACACTCTGAAGAACAGAGGTTCAATTCTACAGGTGCTTTCCATCAGGTATTGAAAACACCTGTGGATGTCACCGAGCAGCAATCAAGCATAATAAGCACCAATTAGGCAGCTTTAAAATGACTGTGATACTCAGCTCCTTCTAGACATTTACTGGTGTGGTTACAAACATGGTGAAGGCAAGAGAATGGTCCAGGAAGACAAGAGAAGAGGTGATTTCTCTTCACAGGAAGGGCAATGGCTATAAGAAGATTGCAAAGATGTTAAACATACCAAGAGACACCTTAGGAAGCATCATTCGCAAATTCAAGGCAAAGGGCACTGTTGAAACGCTACCTGGTCGTGGCAGAAAGAAGATGCTGACTTCGACTGCTGTGCGCTACCTGAAGCGTAGAGTGGAGAGAAGTCCCCGTGTGACTGCTGAGGAACTGAGAAAAGATTTGTCAGATGTGGGTACAGAAGTTTCAGCCCAGACAATAAGACGCACATGCGTAATGAAGGCCTCCGTGCCAGAACTCCCAGGCGTACCCCCTTGCTGTCTCCAAAGAATAAGAAGAGTCGACTGCAGTATGCCAAAAGCCATGTGGACAAACCACAAAAGTTGTGGGATAGTGTTCTGTGGACTGATGAAACAAAATTAGAACTGTTTGGGCCCATGGATCAACGCTATGTTTGGAGGAGGAAGAACAAGGCCTATGATGAAAAGAACACCTTGCCTACTGTGAAGCATGGTGGAGGGTCAATCATGCTTTGGGGCTGTTTTGCTTCTGCAGGTACAGGGAAGCTTCAGCGTGTGCAAGGTACCATGAATTCTCTTCAGTACCAGGAGATATTGGATGGAAACGTGATGCAGTCCGTCACACACCTGAGGCTTGGGAGACGTTGGACCTTTCAACAGGACAATGATCCCAAGCATACCTCCAAGTCCACTAGAGCATGGTTGCAGAGGAAAGGCTGGAACATTTTGGAGTGGCCATCGCAGTCACCAGACTTAAATCCGATTGAGAACCTCTGGTGGACTTAAAGAAAGCAGTTGCAGTGCGCAAGCCTAAGAATGTGACTGAACTGGAGGCCTTTGCCCATGAAGAAATGGGCGAAGATACCCGTAGATCGCTGCAAGACACTTGTGTCAAGCTATGCTTCACGTTTAAAAAGCTGTTATAACTGTAAAAGGATGCTGTACTAAGTACTAAGATTGAATGTCACTTGGGGGTTGAATAAAACTGATAATGCTGTGAGCACAGAAAAGACATTTGTGGTTATTTCATTATAACTGTTATGTTATATTTGTCTGACCTACAAGTGCCTCTTTAATGTAAATGTAAGCAAGATGACTGAATGATCAAAAGCAATGTCAAACTGGCCAAAACACTCAATTTCAGTGGGGGTTTAATTTTGGACACAACTGTAGATGAGTGTGTTGTACATTCCACCAAAACAATGGCCATTAATATGGAGTTGTCCCCCCCTCCTCTCTATGGCCATTAATATGGAGTTGTCCTCCTCCTCTCTATGGCCATTAATATGGAGTTACCCCCTCCTCTCTATGGCCATTAATATGGAGTTGCCCCCCTCCTCTCTATGGTCATTAATATGGAGTTGCCCCCCTCCTCTCTATGGCCATTAATATGGAGTTGTCCTCCTCCTCTCTATGGCCATTAATATGGAGTTGTCCTCCTCCTCTCTATGGCCATTAATATGGAGTTGTCCTCCCTCCTCTCTATGGCCATTAATATGGAGTTACCCCCTCCTCTCTTTGGCCATTAATATGGAGTTGCCCCCCTCCTCTCTATGGTCATTAATATGGAGTTACCCCCTCCTCTCTATGGCCATTAATATGGAGTTGTCCCCCTCCTCTCTATGGCCATTAATATGGAGTTGTCCCCCTCCTCTCTATGGCCATTAATATGGAGTTGCCCCCTCCTCTCTATGGCCATTAATATGGAGTTGCCCCCCTCCTCTCTATGGTCATTAATATGGAGTTGCCCCCCTCCTCTCTATGGTCATTAATATGGAGTTTGCCCCCCTCCTCTCTATGGCCATTAATATGGAGTTGCCCCCCTCCTCTCTATGGTCATTAATATGGAGTTGCCCCCCTCCTCTCTATGGTCATGGTCAATTATATGGAGTTGCCCCCCTCCTCTCTATGGCCATTAATATGGAGTTGTCCCCCTCCTCTCTATGGTCATTAATATGGAGTTGCCCCCCTCCTCTCTATGGCCATTAATATGGAGTTGCCCCCCCTCCTCTCTATGGTCATTAATATGGAGTTGCCCCCCTCCTCTCTATGGTCATTAATATGGATTGCCCCCCTCCTCTCTATGGCCATTAATATGGAGTTGTCCCCCTCCTCTCTATGGTCATTAATATGGAGTTGCCCCCCTCCTCTCTATGGCCATTAATATGGAGTTGTCCCCCCTCCTCTCTATGGTCATTAATATGGAGTTGCCCCCCTCCTCTCTATGGTCATTAATATGGAGTTGTCCCCCTCCTCTCTATGGTCATTAATATGGAGTTGTCCCCCCTCCTCTCTATGGTCATTAATATGGAGTTGTCCCCCTCCTCTCTATGGTCATTAATATGGAGTTGACCACTTTGCAGCTATATTACCCTCTACTCTTCTGGGAAGAATTTCCACAAGATTTTGAAGGGTATCTGTGGGAATTTTGCCCATTTGTGAGGTCAGATACTGATGTTGGATGAGTAGACCTGGCACACGATCCAATTTGTCCCGAAGGTGTTCAGAAGGGTTGAGGTCGGGGCTCTGTATAGGACACTCCAGTTCCTCCACACCAAACCTGTCAAACCATGTCTTTATGGAGATGGCTCCATTCTTCTGGGAAGCCTTCCCACAATCTGTTCCCATTTGTGAGGTAAATTACTGATGTTGGATGAGAAGACCTGGCTCATACATCAGGCCCCAGGTTGGGCAACAAAAAAAATAAAAAAAAAATTAAGGCCAGGTTTACAACTGGCATTCAATTCATTCCAAAGGTGATCAGTAGAATTGAGGTTAGGTACAAATGTTGGATTCACCATCAGCAATCCAATTCATCCCAAAGGTGATCAGTAGAATTGAGGTTAGGTACAAATGTTGGATTCACCATCAGCAATCCAATTCATCCCAAAGGTGATCAGTAGAATTGAGGTTAGGTACAAATGTTGGATTCACCATCAGCAATCCAATTCATCCCAAAGGTGATCAGTAGAATTGAGGTTAGGTACAAATGTTGGATTCACCATCAGCAATCCAATTCATCCCAAAGGTGATCAGTAGAATTGAGGTTAGGTACAAATGTTGGATTCACCATCAGCAATCCAATTCATCCCAAAGGTGATCAGTAGAATTGAGGTTAGGTACAAATGTTGGATTCACCATCAGCAATCCAATTCATCCCAAAGGTGATCAGTAGAATTGAGGTTAGGTACAAATGTTGGATTCACCATCAGCAATCCAATTCATCCCAAAGGTGATCCGTAGAATTGAGGTTAGGTACAAATGTTGGATTCACCATCAGCAATCCAATTCATCCCAAAGGTGATCCGTAGAATTGAGGTTAGGTACAAATGTTGGATTCACCATCAGCAATCCAATTCATCCCAAAGGTGATCAGTAGAATTGAGGTTAGGTACAAATGTTGGATTCACCATCAGCAATCCAATTCATCCCAAAGGTGATCAGTAGAATTGAGGTTAGGTACAAATGTTGGATTCACCATCAGCAATCCAATTCATCCCAAAGGTGATCAGTAGAATTGAGGTTAGGTACAAATGTTGGATTCACCATCAGCAATCCAATTCATCCCAAAGGTGATCAGTAGAATTGAGGTTAGGTACAAATGTTGGATGACACCAATGTTGGATTCACCATCGGCAATTGAATTCATCCCAGAGGTGTTCAGTAGGGTGGAGGTCAGGGCTCTGTGTAGGACACTCCAGTTC